AGGCTTCTTCAACTTCACTGTAATACAGACCGCTACAAAAGACCTTTCCTGCCCACAGCCATCAGCATCTACAAGAAGTTTTTAGTTAAATGAGTTACAACAACACCTAATTTCCCTCTGGGATCAATAAAGTATTTTTGAATTTGAATTGAATTAGCACAAGGTAAAGAAAATGAAGAGCATCTGTCTGCTGTTCCTCTCACTGATGGCAGGTAAAACCAGAGCTTGTGTTTTACTATTTATTAGAAATAATTTGAGTTATGTCTGATTTCTTTCGTTTTAGTCGTCGATGTTTCTCACAGTCTGTATTACCACAAAAATTTGAAACTTATCAACTGTGTTAAAAAAATCTCCTGCTCTTAATACTCTTAAGAAAGAAACTATAATCCATTTAAATAAGTTTATAACCATAATTATAAAATTTTAGCTGAAAGACTGACATAAGAAACACTAAATATATATAAAGAGTGTCAAACTGAAAATAAAAAGATCTTCAGTTCGTACCTCAAACAGGATTTTACATATTTTAAAAATGGAAATTTTAATTTTTTTAGGGTTTAATTTGTGGAGTTGTGTTGTATTCTTTTGTACATTTAAAATCACCCTGTTCTAACTTCTCACTTAAAGCTTAAATTTGTTGCAAAAATATATATGCTAGTTTGGGTTTATCCACTAAAGTAATATTAGTATTAGTAGTATATAGTATTACAAATAAATATTAGTAATTTTCAGAATCTGATTTGTCAGATCTTCTGTGATGATGACAAGTAGCATTTTGTTTTAATAATTTTTCTGTTATTTAAACTATAACAAATTGTATTTTTGTAACAAACTGTAACAAATCCATGTTTTGTAGTTGTTTCATTGCTGGATTTTCTCAAAGTCCAATAACTGAACTTTATTTTTGGTCTGATTTGCAGGTTTTGTTGCCACAGCAGAAGTGAAGGGATGCCTAGGAGGATGGATTGAATTTAACTGCAATTATTCCACCAACGCTCAAGTACTTGTTAATGGAACACATCTAAAACAAACTACTAAGAACAATAAGTGGGAAAAACGAGACCGATTGTATCTGTATAATGATACAAATATAAAAAAACTCAGACTGATCATAAGAGACCAGAAACCTGAGGACAGTGGAACTTATCAATGTAAATTTTATCCTAATCCAGACAAACAACTGTCTGAAAAACTTGTTGTCAGTAAGTGATTCTTCATATTTGCAACATTCGTACAGAAAAACTTGTTCAGTGTTTAAAAGTATATTTTTGTTGTTTAATTTACAGAGAGTAAAAGCTGCCAGCAACCAGTCAGTCAAGATGTTTACAAAGCATCTAAAACCACCATCAGATGTGATTATCAAGATCAAAACCTGTCAAAGATCAAGTTCTTCTGCAAAGAAAACAAGGAGTCCATCTGCGAGGATATAGTAGACTCTCAAAAGTCTAAATCACATGGATCATTTTCCCTTAAAAACACAACAACTGACTTCAATGTGACCATAAATCCAGTTTCACCAAGAGATGAAGGTGTTTACTGGTGTGGAGAGAAAGAAAAGAATGGCTCTTACCGTGCTGGACTCAAGAAAATACAACTGAAGTTTAAAGGTGAGAAATTCACAGCTTCAGCTTTTAAGATTTAAATTGTTCTTATGACGTGTTTATATTTTTATTTCTTGTTTCTGCAAAAATTACTTACTTCAGCAAACAGCGAACCATTGGACAAGATTTAGACTTTTACTGTGAATCCGAACAGTATGCAAAAACCTTTTCAAAGTTCATCTGTAAGGGAGAAGATCATACCACATGTCACACTGTGGCAAATACCAGTGATGCAAAAAACAACTCGAGAGTTTTAATGGTGTATGACAAAACAAATAAAAAACTCAAAGTAAAGCTGAAAAATGTAACAGAACCTGACTCTGGGACGTACTGGTGTGGAGCACACAATCCTAAAAATCAACGCAGCAAAATATTCACCCACAGAATGACTTTGAATGGTGAGTCCTTCTGTTTAATTCTGGTGATCAAATGTTCAAAAGATGACAAACAATTCAGACCCATTATGTCTGGATTAATGTTGAAAATTTATTGTTGCTTTTGAAATTTAACACAAAAACTCAGCTGCAGAGTTAAACAAATGAAGCCCCTCAACAACAACAGGGCAGATGTTTCAACAACAGGAAAGATGAAACAGGATGAAGTGGTAAAATATTAGCTGATAAGACAGGAAGCTGTGATACGCTCCTTTACACCATTAACACTTCATGTTTGCAGTTTGTTTCATATTAAACAGGTTCTTAACTATAAACACATAAATCAAAACTCACCAATAAAAAGGTATTTTAGTCTCATCAGTGTTTCAAATGTTTCTTTATAGAAGGTTTCATTTCCTGTACGTAATYGAAAGAGGGTTGTGTTTGTCAACGGGTACATTTGTCATCCACTGTTGGAATTTATTTTTAACAGCATTACAAATTAACACTTCAGACTTTGATCTAGACACAAGATTGATCAAGCACAAATAAAATATTTAAAAATCATCTCACACAAACAGTTCTTGTTTCACTACACTTTAATTTTTTTTTTCCTTTTTAGTAACCAGACCTGCTCCTCCAGAAACTGGTGAGAAAATACACATAATACTTTTTATTCTGAAAAAATATAATTTTTGAAATAACACTGCAGTTTGTTTGCTGTTTTTGTCTTTTCTTCCAGGTGTCTCAAACTTTATCCAACCTGTGATCACCGGTGCTGTGGGCCTGATCCTCCTGCTGCTGCTCATCGTTTTGATCTTTATCTGCAAAAGTAAGAAATCACTTTATTATTAATAAAAACATGGAGTTAACCTTTTTAGACATGTTAAAAATGATTCTTAGTTGCAATCAGACAGATCTGAAGAGTCTCTAAATAAAAACATTTTTCTCAGACCACACTTAAGGCGGTATTTAGAGATTTTATCCTCATATCTTTAGTCTCATAGCATGCCTAAGTCATTTGTGACCAAATATGTCTTGGGCAATTATGCTATGAGTCTAACGATATGACAAAAGCTGCATAACTTCCTCCTGAGCTGGAAGCAGAGTGGTAAAAAATACAATTAATTTACTTTAAAAGGCCACTCAGCTGCTGATGCTCGGGAATATTCTGAAGACACAGCTTTTGTTTTGGTTTGTTTTGTTTTTGGCTAAAGCTTTAATAAACTGCTGTTTCTAAATTCTTTATAACTTTGTCTGATTTTATTGTTGGACCACAGGATGTTGCATGAGTGACTTTGCTTGGGTCACTCTCTGACGATAATCTGAGCCGTTACGTCACAGACTGACAGATCAGATGTGACATTTACAGAGAACAGCTGATGGTTATCAGCTCTCTGTGGGTTTTTACAAATTAAAATCTGACACTGAGCTCCATCGAGTGTGGCCTTCTGTATGGGTCTTTATTTCTCTTACGTTAAATCATTTAGGTAATTAAGCTCAAAAGCAGTGTTGTATAAAGTACCACAAAGTGATACTTGAGTAAAAGTACAAGTATCTTACCAAAAAAACTAAAAGTTAAAGTCTCCTTTAGGAATTTTACTTGAGTAAAGGTCTGATATATATTGTATATTTAAAAGTAGAAGTATTAATTTAAATTTTTTGCAATGACATTTATTAGGAGGTGACCTCCCCAAAAATGCAGAAATTACTATGTTCTATTAAAATAATTAATTTATTAAATTTAGGATGCACTAGTCCAGCTGTTTCAGTTTATATACATATATCAAGGCTGCACAAAGCTTTTCCCCAAAATGAAAATCTATCTGAGGGCTGCGGCCAAATGTAAGAATATAATTCATGAAATACAAATACTTCTTAAGTACAGTCCTTTTATTTGAATGATTCTGTCCTGCTGGAGTGTGACATGATTTGTTTGTGTACAAACTAATACACTATCAGAGTTTTATATATTTATACTTCTCATTCAACCACAGTTAAATTCACTCTATCTAGGAGGCACAGTTCATATGGATAGTTTTATTTTTTATAATAACAAGCTGGAATGAAAACAAGCAAAAATCAAATAAAAGTAAAGACTTTCTACTTCTTGCCTTTTTTAAAAATGTAGTGAGTAGAAAGTACAGATAACTGTGTGAAAATGTAAGAAGTAGGAGTAAAAAGTAGGCTGAAAAATAATTAGTCAAGTAAAGTACAGATACCCAAAAAATCTACTTAAGTACAGAAAAGAAGTATTTGTACTTAGTTACTTTACAGCTCTGCTAAAAAATGTAACAAATGTCTACACAAGTACACCTTTATGGTTACTTTGATAAAAAAGGGGGAAAATACCTAAATTTCTACTTTTTTTCTTTTTTTTCTTGCTCTGACAGAATATTTCAGCTCAAAAAGCCCAGAAACCAAAACAGAAGCACAGCAGTCCCAAGAGGTTAGTTTACCTGCAAAGACTTTAAGTGTTTACTTTAATGTTGATGTTAAATTGCTCAAAATGTCTTATTTTTCTTTCAAAGGAATATGTGAACGTGTATGAAGAGATACCAGATCGCCTCCAGCCATCAACAGTTTATGCCTTGGCTAACTTTCCTTTCTCCRCCTCGGTGCTTTACTCCACCATCACCTCACCAAACGGTTCCTCTGACAGATCCGATGGAGGGGTTCTGGTCCTGAGGCCCAGTTCTGCTTCCTGCCAATACTCAGCTTTAAAACGTGACTCGAGCTCCACCTCACTGGCTTTTCAGCCGTCTGCCTCTGCAGATCTTTACTCCACCGTCCAGAAAACACAGCAGAAATAGAGATAGATAGCCTGAATGTTAACTGATTTTAGCTAAATGAACACATCAAAAACCGACTAAAAGCATTATTTTCTTTTTAAATGTATTTTAATTTTCATTACTATTTACTACCTTTATATTTGAAACGTGGTGCTGTGCTATCAGTGGTTCTGATGTTTGTAGGATGCTGGACTGACCCAGAAAATGATGGAAACAGAACTGACAAAGTAAAGGTAAATATAAACCAGGCAGAGGTGTTAATACTTTTTTATAATCTATATACATTTTTAAGCTTTAGTCATAATAAATTAGCATAAACAGCAGAAAATTGTGGGAAAATTGTACGTTTTTTTGTTTATTCTTTGATCTTACAGCCATGAACATTGATGTTATTGTTTATTTTGTTTTCTTCTGGCTTTTAATTGCAAATGTAACCAAATAAAAATATCTTGAGGATTCGGGTTACGACTCAAGAATACTGTTTTCTCGCAACAAAACACCAAATATAATAATTTCAGGTTGATTATAAGAGACCATCACAGTGTGTTTTTTATTCGCATCTATTAAAAATGTAGAATAAAACAGTTTGACAGTCATAAAACAGGTAACACTTCAAGCTGTTTGTGTTCAGTGCTGACTTCAAACAAACCACTGTTTCCGCTCAGTTCTTTTTGCAGAGAGGAAGTTTTCACACCAAGATACCCAGATTTTATCTGACGTTTTCAAATTAATCTAACCAAAAACAGAGAACGTCTTCATCTGTTTTATTTAAACACATTTTGTAAAATAAAACTATAAAAATCAGGCAGTGTTTAGATCATGTCCATGCCCTCTGCGGGCCCTAAGGCCCCTCCGTCCCCTCCCTGCACGCTCTGGAAGATGGACGCCATGTCGGCGTTGGAGCGGATCTGGTTGGCGAACTCGGCCATGCTGGGGCTCCTCTCCACCTCCGGCACCGCCAGCAGGGCGGCGACGGCGCGCATGGCGGAGCGCCGCAGCTCCTCCTGCTTCTCAAACTCCTGCTTCACCGAGCCGGCCTTCACCTGCAGGGGGGACAGGGGGACGGAGACGTGTTGACTTTTTGATTCGTTTCTTTAATTTAATGCAGATAAACAGTTTGTTGTGGGTTTGTTTCTGGTGACATTTGGGGGCAATTTTAAGACAAAATCCTACATTTGGGGACAACTGGTGCATTTGGGGGCAAAAGTCGAGTTCCCGGTTGATTTAAATGCCAGTGGTGGGTTGGGGGGGTTGGGGTTTAGGACCAAGGTGTGAATTGAGTTTAGGTTAGTTTTAGGGTCAGGTAGGTACCTGTGAGGTTAGCTTTAGGTTTGTGGTCAGGGTTAGGCTGTAGAAATGTAATGGAAGTCAATGGAATGTCCCCAAATGGATAGCTGTGCAAACGTGTGTGTGTGAGTTTTGTTCACTGCAGTAGGAGTGTGTTATTTTTATCACTGTCCTGTGCTCGCATGGTCTTTGAAGAGTTTGAAAGTCCTGCTACTCAGAGATGAGCATGAGCATCATCAAACAAAACAGCATCTCAGCCTGTCAGCAGCAGTGTGTGTGTGTGTGTGTGTGTGTGTGTGTGTGTGTGTGTGTACTTTGGTGGTGCAGGTAGCTTTGAGAGGCTCCACCAGTCGGTCCAGTCTTTGCAGGACAGCTGCAGGACTTAAAGACACCAGTCTGGCCAGCATCAAGAAGGTCAGCATCTGGTTTTAAAAACATATATTTTTTAATCAGTCTGTGTATTTTCAGTGGCCTTTAAATGATCAGGATGTTCATTTCTGCTCACCCTGATCAGAGTTGTAATGTAACGAAGTACAAATACTTTGTTACTGTACTTAAGTAGAAATTTTTGGTATCTGTACTTTACTTGAGTAATTCTTTCTCAGCCTACTTTTTACTTCTACTCATTACATTTTTACACAATTATCTGTACTTTCTACTCCTTACATTTTTAAAAAAGGTAAAAAGTAGAAAGTCATTTCTCCTATTTCATTTCAGCTCCTTATTGTAAAAAGAAAAACAACACAATCCTGATAAATTGTGTCTCCTGGATAGAGTGAATTTAATTGTGGTTGGATGAGAAGTATAAATATATACCATTCTGATACTGTATTTAGTTTGTATACAATTAATCAAAGCTGCACACCTAGAAAAAATACTTTTTGAAGAAGTCACCTCCAAATAAATGTATTTTGAAAAATCTAACCATTCAATTTTACTCAGTACTTTTACTTTTATTATTTAAGTACATTTTATGTCAGAAATTTACTTTTGATATTAAGTACAAAATAAATCAGATACTTTAAGACTTTAACTCAAGTAATATTTTTAGAGAAGACTTGAACTTTTACCAAAGCAATTTTATGATAAGATACTTGTACTTTTACTCAAGTATCACTTTACTTTATACAACACTGACCCTGATGTCGTAGTGGTCTTTGAGCCCCTCCTCCACGTGATCCAGAAACTGCAAGACGTCCAGCCCCTCCAGGCAGCTGTCCAGCAGAGTGTACATGCACTCGAACGCAGCTTTACGCACGTCCAAGCCGTCGTCCACCGTGTGCTTGAACGGCCCCATCTCCACCTGTTGGAGCACGTTGAAAACGTTAAATCTTCACAGATTGATTTTTTTTTCTCTCGTTGGGCCGACGCACTTCTCTGATGAGATCCTTCCGGATCTGAGTTTCCTTGTAGAGGTGAGGCAGAACCGTCCCCAGGAGTCCTCGGATCAGAGACGGTTTGTTGTGGGCCGCGGAGTTGAACATCACCAAGGCCACGCGGCGCACGTTGATGTCGCCGTCCTGCAGGGTCTTCAGGAAGTCGCCTGACGCAGAGAAAACCAGGATGCATCTAAAAACCCGTCCATCTTTAACCACTTGCTTTCTTTACTTCGTGCCTGTCAGTCAGGATTTATGCTCAAATCTGTATTTTTAAATCTAAAACTCAAAGCAAGACTTCGAATATGTTTTAGAACCAACGGCAGCTACAAATAAAACACATTATTTGATGATTAAAGCGTTTTAATGTGTCATTAAAAGCCATTATGGCTGTTCTCCTCTAATAAAACCTAAAACTGTGTCTCCAGTTTAGACTTGTTCTCATAAAAAAACTGAAACAAACTGCGGTTTGTGTGTTTGTTACCGATGCAGTCCTTCAGCAGTGAGTCCACAGGAGCGGGATGGTCGACGATAGTGAACTTCACGGCTGTCAGCACTGTGCTGCGAGCTAGAGGAGAACCTGCAGGACGACCAGGGTTTTACGGTGCACGGTACGAGAGCTCAGTTCAAACTCCTCTCAGCCTGCGGCTCACCAGAGTTAAGCTGTTGTCTCAGTCTGGGCAGAAGCTGGCCCGGGTTGACTAAGGTCAGCTTTCCCAAACATTCAGCCACCAGGTTCCTGGTTCCCTCCTCTGGACACTCGCAGAGCTGGATCAGCAGAGACCAAACCGACTCCACGAGAGGAGAGAGGCTGGAGGCCTGAGAGGCGCTGAGAGGAGACAGATTAAAGGTTCTGACACAGAAACTAGAGAATCTGATGTTTAGAAGCTGCTGAAGAGGCTGAAACTCAGCTGTTAAAGGGATCCATGATTAGTTGTAACATTAGACTTTATTTGATGAACATTTATTTTAACTGTAAAATAAAGACTGTAAAAATACTGTAGGCTGTTTAGTTTTGTAAATTTTTAAAAATATATTTTAACACGGACTGAAAAGCATTCTGGGTAAATGATGACGTGGATAGGTCCTCGGTGCGATGCTGCTAGCYAGCTATATCCACCCTGAAGGTTAATCTTGGACAAWATCTGARGATCGYCTCTTTTAAATGAAACCAGAGAGCGTTGACAGAGAGGAGAAGGTAGAAATGACTCAGCCTGGAACTGAAAATATGGATGGAGGACAACAGAGCTGCTTCKTGGAAGAAGAACCTCAGCTTAGCCTGTTAGCCCCGACTCTATCARCAATATACATGTATAGGCTCAGCGCTAAAAAGAGCCGATCATCAGATCACCTGGCTGTTCAACCAAGTGAAAATGAAGACCCTAAAACCAGACCCAAACCAGTCTTCATTCCATATGTGGCAGGAGTTTCAGAGAAACTGAGACGTTTATTCTCTAAACACGACGTCCCAGTGGCTTTCAAATCCCAAAACACATTACTGTACAACAAAGATTAGTTCACCCCAAGGATCCAGTTCCCCGGCAAAAACAGAGTAATATAGTGTATGCTGTTAAGTGTCAGGAGGACTGTGATCAGTCATACATCGGGGAAACAAAACAGCCACTGTTCAAAAGAATGAGCCAGCACAGACGAGCTACATCGTCAGGCCAGGACTCTGCAGTTTACACTTATCTACAGGCCAGGATTCTGCAGTTTACACTCGTCTACAGGCCAGGATTCTGCAGTTTACACTCGTCTACAGGCCAGGACTCTGCAGTTTACACTCATCTACAGGCCAGGATTCTGCAGTTTACACTCATCTACAGGCCAGGATTCTGCTGTTTACACTCGTCTACAGGCCAGCGGTCACTCTTTCAGTGATGAAGATGTTCTCATCCTTGATAGAGAGGAACAAGAAAAAGTGTCCACCATTAAACAGAGGTGGAGGCCTTCGTGCCCAGTTGTCCTCCTCCTACAATGCTGTTATTGCAAGTATGACTCCGCCCCCTGTGAGCAAAAGGTGTGAATCAGGGCCCCAACGATACCAACACAAATAGGGAGGGAGGGAGGGACAAAAACAAGGGGACGTTGAACCCCGCTTGCACTCACTTCATACACATAAAACACCAAATAACCACAGCCGAAGCATCCAAACCAGTAAGTCAGGTGATGGAGCACATGACCCTCTATGAACAATAGAGCTAATCAAGCCTATTGTTAGGTGATAACCCTCTTTTGCATGTGACTAACCTGTTTGTCCATGTGGAGGCAGTGCTTATAATTATGAGTTCACCTGAAACTCATCAGACTGAAGAAGTCTCTTGGAGGAGAGACGAAACGTTTCACTAAAGAAGAACCCATCCAGAGGACCTACTGATTTTTTTCTTTTTGATTTTTTCTACCTGGATTACTGAGATGCATCAGGACGTTTATCAAATAAAGTCCAATGTTACAACTAATCCTGGATCCCTTTAAAGTTAAATGAAGCGGTGAAAGCCCACCTGATGACTTCTTTGAGCGAGTGCAGGAGCAGGTACTGCCGCCGAGGCTGAGCTGAGACCTCCTTCAGGATGAAGGGCAGGTATTCACTCTGACTGCCGACCGCCATGCCGCCCAGCGCGCAGGAAGCTGCCGTCTTTATCTAGAAATTAAAACAATCTCCATGTTTCATCATTTTCATGATTTAAATTTAGTCATTTATAACATCTACTCTGTCTGGGATTAATTCTCAGGGTTTTTACCTCCTCGCTGGTGGAGGTAAAGGCCTCCAGGATGACCCCCTGCACCTCCTTACTCCCGCCCAGACTGCCGCTCCTCCCCACCTCGCCCAGACACAACAGAGCCAGGACTCGGGCCGACTCTGGAGATCCGGGATTCTTCACCTGAGGCGACACAAACGCATGAGTCGTTTTAACCAAACAGAAACTAGAAACCTGTCCCCACTGATAACAGGGCCAGACCTGCTGCAGGAGTCCGGCGACGGTGCCCGGCGAGTCTTTGGGCGAGGCCGAGGACAGAGCGGCCACGCAGCGAGCGACCGAGTGGTACGACTGTCTGTGGAGGACGCTGCCGTCTGCAGAGGACTTGGAGCTCTGAAARGGCTCCATGAGAGACTTCAGCAGCTGACTGGAGGAAAAGAAAAACACACAAATGAGATAAAAGTGTCGTTTTCTTAGAGGAAACYTTAAAACACTGACAACTTCAGAGTGAACTATAGAGCTTTGCTTTAAAGGGCCTGTGACAGCAGATTTTTGTAATAAACATGAATGCATTTTTTGAGAAATAACATTGATAACATGCTGCAAAACAAATTTCACGTCACTGAGATGAACGYTTGTTGAGATATTTGCAAGTGAAGAAACAGGAAGTGATGTCAAAGGGGAATGTCTGCATGTAAACAGAATGTTTTAACAAAAGCTAACAACACAGACTGTAGAGAAGAATCTGATGTTTCTTTAGATTATTTTGAGTCTCTATCAGAGATGAAGAAGAGTTGTGCCAGTTATGTGACAAAATAGGTAAAATCATGTGTACTATGCCACTTTTCTTAAGTATAAAAATGTTTTCTTTGACTTTTTGTATTTGAAGGATAGGCGTGTCCCAGGCACCTTAAAACCTTTATTTTGAAGGGATGTTTTGTTGTGCTTCATCAACAGAAACCGTTGCTCTCGCGTCCTAACAGAACCACAGATTAACAGAAGAGCCTGATCTCATCTGACGGATCGTCCTTATGTCACCGAAAAACAGAGAAACCTCRGGAGAAGAGGATCGGCTTTCCCCGAGTTCACTCCGAGCCGTGAGATATCATCTGCTCGTGTCACACATCAACCCAAAACGAATTATTCTTTTGACTGAAGGCCTGGAGAGCCACAGAAGACATTACAACACTTCCAGCAGACTGAGTATCACAGCCCGTGATTAGTGGACTGATTTTTATCCGCTGGAATTTGTGGAGTTCCCCCCGAAAACTGCAATCACGTCATTATTGATTTCTTAAAATAACACGGCGGAGCTGACTCAGATGTGACTCGGAGTGACGTCCACACACAGGAGACGTGATTTAATCTGATCTGGTGACGTGAGGGGAGAAACGATCGGGTTTCACTCTGCTGTTTTTAAATTCTGGAAGATAATGTAATGGCTTTTAATCACGTAAAGAGACTTTAACGTTGTGAGTTTTGGACGGTTTTCGCGTCTCCTGATGAAATAACAGCTGTTTACGAGCCTGAGGGAAACACCGCGTTTTTACATGATTGTATTTCTAAACTGCCGGCTATTATTTGCAACGTCAGCTTTAAAAACGACCCAATTATAATCGGCAATTATAAACCCGAGTGGGTCAACAAAAACATTATCAGTTATCAACCCTGAGCTGTTTTCCCACCAGATCCTCGTCGACCCGGCTGCAGCACTTGTCCCAGTTATCACCTGACAGCGAAGTCAATTTAACAGAGTTTATGTTGGTTTGAAAGTCATTTTTGAAATGTTGAGCTCACCGCCTCCTCTGGACTCACCTGTAGCCCAGGTTACTGGCTTTGGACAGAATCAGGGCCTGAAGGAAGTCCAGGATGGCTCCCAGAGCACCTCCCTGCAGCAGTGGGGAGTGGATGAGTCTGAAGACCCCCGGCAGCACCGAGGAGCTGATCTTCGCCAGCGAGGAGGAGAAGGCTTTGGCCATGACCGTCAGCAACGTCACGGACACCTGAACAGAAACACGCAGGCTATACGTGTGTCCAAGAAGCTTTGAAACATCCTTTTTTCGTCACGTTAGTCGATAATTTTCATTATTCAAAACTGTATTTGGTATCAAAAAGTCTGAAAAAAATCCTTTTTACACAAAGAGCAGAAAGAGAGGCTGATAAAACCAACAAAGTACCATAGATGCTAACAGCAATTCAGTCTTAATTGTAGGCCTGATCATGTTAAAATAAAAAAAGTTTTATATATTTTGGTAATGTTCTAATATTTTTTACATGATCTGTTAGCATTTAGAGCATGTGTCAAACTCAAGGCCCACAGGCCAAATGTGGCCCGTGGGTGACTTCCAGCATGCCAATGAACCCCACCTCAAAAAATTAATTAATTTAATTTAATTTAATTTAATTTATTTTGCTTAATTTAATATAAACATTTATTTTGAATATATTTTAAACTTTAAATTTCTGATTCAATGTAACAAAATAAACAAATTTAAAAGGTGAAGAATAATACTTGTCCGGCCCTGAACTGTTAGCTTTAAGCACCTGTGGCCTCTAGTTAAATATTTCTGTTTTAATGTCTCAAAATAAGCTGGTGTAAAGCCAGAATTGATCATAAACCGCATCTCCCATAATGCATGTTGATTATTTTTCCAGCAAAACGATGCATCCCACCACTAGGTGGAGCGGCACTGGCTTCAAATATAGCCGGCGAAATTTGCCTTTTAAAATCTTCATTTAGCTGCATTTTTACAGCCCAGTTGTAGTGGGAAGTGGGAATTTACAACTCACAAGTCGTAAATTTAAACTGGAACCACCCTCCAGTGGGAATTCCCTGTCGGAATGTGAGAGAGTTCAGAATTCAAGATGGCAGCTGCTAAACACAGCAATTTAGCTCAATATCTGTAAAATTCATGGAGTTGTCATTTATGACTGATTAGCTGTGGCGGCCATCTTGGATTGGGTATCCAGGATTAGTTGTTAGGTCGGCTCCCCGCTGTGAGTTTTTTTTCTCGGAGCTACAAATGTTCTGACTGCAGGTGAGATACTGACTGCTCATAGGTACTTAATCCACCAACATTCAGGGATTCGATGAACCTGAGCACCTGTGACACGTGCATGTCGCTCTCGTCCACCAGAGGGGGGATCTCGTTCAGAACCGGCTCCAGAGCCGCGGGTTTGATTCTGGCGGCGTGATGAGTGACCAGAGCCGTGAGACACGCCAACGTGCCGAGCTTCAGGGCGCGCTGGTTCTTCCTCAGGAAAGACCCCAAAACTGACAGGGCCTCTGGGAGGATGGAGGACAGGTCGATCTGAAGAGGGACAAAAGTTATTTTTATGTTTTAATTATTAAAAATTAAATTAAATTAAATTAAATTAAATTAAATTAAATTAAATTAAATGAAGTGGAAAGAATGAAATGAAATGAAATAAAATGAAAGAAAAGAAAAAAGAAAAGAAAATGAAATGAATTAAAATAAAATAAAATGAAGTGAAATGAAATGAAATGATATGAAATGAAATAATGAAATACAATGAAATGAAATAAAATAAAGTCTAACTGAACCTTTAATGGGGAAGCAGAAATCAGAGTCAAGGTTCGAACTGCCGTCAGTCTGGTTATCTCATTTTTTAATCTCTCCAGAAAGATCCTCAGAACTCCCTGAAGCTCCGCCCCCAGGTGGTCGCCAAGGTGACACACCAGGTGGCCCATACAGGAAATGGCTCTCTCCTTCACTTCCTGGTCGATGTCGGTTGCTTTAAGTCTCTTTATTGTGACGGAAAACACCTGAAAAAAAAAATCTGGACTCAGATAACAGCTGAATCAAGACAAATAACAACGTAAACAACAACAACCGACTCTTGGGTTGAAGGAATAATAAAACCTGCAGGAATTAATTATTCATTTTTAGTTTTAAATCCATATTCTGAAGGAAGCTCAAACACTACAACCAAGAAGGACCATAGAGAGGAGAATTGATCTTACCTCTTTGACGAAGAGTTTCGGGTCAAATCCTCCGGAGGAGCTGACTCTGACGAGCTGCTGAGTGACCAGCAGAGCCTCCGAGGTGATCTTATAGAAGGAGTCCTCAACACACGACAAGACCGCCGGCAGCAGGACCTGCAGGGTCCACAACACAGGATCAGGCTCCACTCATTGGGGAAAAGTTTTAGGCAGCCTTGGTATGTGTTTATAAACTGAAACAGCTGGACTAGTGCATCCTAATTTTAACATAAATTAATTATTTTAATGCAACATAGTAATTTCTGCATTATTTGGGGGGAGAGATCACTTCCTAATAAATGTCCTTACAGAAAATCTAACTGCTCATTTTAAATCAATACTTTTAATACTTTAGTACAAAAAATATCAGATACTTTAAGACTTTTACTCAAGTAATATTCCTAAAAGAGACTTTAACTTTTACTAAAGTAAATTTTTGGTAAGGTACTTTTACTCAAGTATCACTTTGTGGTACTTTCTACAAGGCTGGAAGAACCTGCATGTGTGTCTGAAAGGCCTGCGGAGGGTGGGAGAGGAGGAGGACGTTGAGGAAGGAGAGAGCGTCGATCCTCATGGTGGAGGAGCTGGACTTGTCTGTCAGGGAGAAGACGACGCCTGCAGGAGGGACGAAGAGGATGAGGTGGAAAGCGGAGATTTAGTTGTGTTTTATTTTGTGCGTGTGCACCTGGTATGAGCGCAGGTACGTGTTCCTCCAGGGATCCAGGAACGGTGTGAGCCAGCTCCGTGAGCAGACAGAAGCATCCCTGTCGAGACCTGACGCTCTTCTCCTTCAGCTGTCGGTGCAGAGCTCTGACGATGGCTGGAACCTGCAGATGTTCACACGTTTGTCTCTTTAGTTTCTCCTCCGTTAAATTCATTCAGGAGCTACGAAGCGGCACCTGTGTCCTCAGCAGAGCGACGGCTGGCTCCTCCTCCAGGCGGCCGGCCCCCGGGTCGGGGAGGCCGTGGTGACCCAGGCGGGTTTGCCTCAGCAGGGCGGAGAAGGCAGCGAACACGTCGGCCCTCACGTTCTCCTCGCGCTCCTTGAAGCGGGCCAGCAGGGCGGGGCAGATGGAGGAGTAGAAGGAGAGCAGGAGGTCCCGGCGCGTGCCCACCAGCGCCTCCAGACACTTGACCGCAGAGCGCCGAACCTTCCAGCTCATGTCGTCGTCGTCGCTGTACTCGTCATCCGACTCTGGAAGGAGGATCYTTTAGTAACCTTTAAAGATAAGATAAATAATGAGGCAAAAATAACATAAAAACTTTGAGGAATCACCTTCATCCAGCCCGTCRTCCACGTCCATGCTGTCTTCTTCGTCCTCCTCGCTGTCGTCGTAGTTGTAGTTGGGGTCAAAGGTCATGAACTTCAGACAGAGCTGAGTCACCGTAGCAATGTGAGGCGACATCTCCTTCGGACACCTGACCAGAGACAAGCAGGACCAGAGGTGTAAAAACTMCAGCTACTTCCTGCAGGATGTTTTGGACCAAAGACGACATCATCAGTCTCATTATTTTTAACTGGAGAATTTGCCTTTTCAGTGAAAATAGAGCGTGGATTTCAAAGAAACAAAATATGTACAAAAAATGTTTGAAATTTGTTGTAAAATATCCAAAAAGCTGAAAATAGCAGAAAGGTAGCTAAAACATATCTGAAAAAGCTTAATCTAGCATAAAAAATTGCTGAATTAAGCAGCCAATAGCTACAATCATCTCAAAAATGTGCGTTTCACCGAAAAAAGGTTAACATTAGCTAAAATACCTAAAAAGCAGCTTAAATTGCAYAAAACAGCTGAAAGAAGCATAAAAAGCTTAAGTTAGCAGGAAGAAGCTAACAGAAGCACAAAAATTYTAATAACAGATTAGCTAAAAAGAGCAAAAAGATGGCTGAAAAAGCAGATAAAAAAGATGACATTAGCAAAAAACAAAGCTAAAGGAAGCTAAAATTAGCTCAAATAAGTRAAGCAAAACCGGAAAAAGGTGTAAAGTACACAGTTTTTAATTTTAAATGAGAACAAAAATGGCCATAAAGCTATAATACCTCAAAAAGTATAAATTGCTGAAATATCACAAGTCATAATATGAATGTCCTGAAGGAGCTGAACATTTGATATATGAGTGGATTAAACAGCACAAAAACTGCTGAATGAGATTTGTGCCGCAAAATGTACGATTACAGCTTAACTAGAGAAATTACATTTCCTGCGAAAATACAATCTGAATGCTTACTGCTGAATAATTTAGCTGAAAGCTGCTGAGGAAGCTGAAATATTTTTGAATGCTGAACTATTCATGCAAGCTGAATTTTAACAACTGACGTGAAACCCAAAATTAGCTGAGTGATTGCTGAAATTTGCTGAAGAACCCAAACTGTAAATTTTTTTTAAAAAGTTTCAAGAGGCAGCTGAACAACAKAGAAATACGCAAATAAATTAAAAGGAGTAGAAATATAACTGAAAGGGCCAGAAAAAGATGAAAAAGGCAGAAAGGAACACAAGAAATTTTTTAAGTAGCAGAAATTAGCAGAAGAATAGCTGAAAAAGATTTAAAAATCAGCTAAATAGAAGCTGAAGGAAGCCGAATTTAGCACAGAGCAGAAATAGGACAAAAGTTAAAATGTACAGTAAAGATTTATGAACATTTTGAAGGGTTTAAGTAGATTAAAGAGAGCTCCAATCATTTCCAATGAGATAAAAATGGCTGAAAATGGCTAAATTTTCCAGTTGCAGTTTTTGTGTTTTTGCTTCATGTGTACCTTCTTATAAAAGCTTCAAAAGCATGGAAACAATATTCCCTCAACTCGTCGTCTTCAACACTGGTTAACTTCACCACCAGAGGGATTAGTTTCTCTAAATGTTCACCTGAAAAACACACAAAAAGCATGAAAGTTTAAATTAATTAAAGGCTAAATTTATTTGATTTAAACTGTGATTTTAATGAAAACCCAGATCTGACCGACTCGATGGCCGCCCTGCCGACTGACGGTCGCCAAACACTGGATGTACGTCCTCGTCACCGAGGTGGGCGGGTTCTTGGCCAGCTCGCCCACCAGGTGTTCGGTCAGCTGGGAGAAGAGGGCGGGGCTACAGCAGGGCACCAGGTGGCCGAGGGCCAAGATGGAGCGCTTCCTGACCGCCATTCTGGAGCTGGTGAGCTGAGGGACAATAATCAATGAGTTCATAGCAATTACTTTTAAATTTATAAATTTTTAATGTAATTTACAGAGATTCTTAACCCATGGACCACGTGCGCCACCTTGAGGGCCTCAAAAGAACAACAGTTTTTAACTTTGGGCCGCAGAGGGCCGTGGGACCGCATTGATTTTGAATAAGGTGCAATACACTTTCTCACCACTAGTAGCAGAAGAAGAAACTTAGATACCTGCCGAAAATGGAAACTTATTTTAAGGGAAAAGTAGAAGCAAAAATGAAGGTAACTCATTAAAAAACACCAAAGTTTGTCTCTAATATGAAGAGCAGCTTCTGTT